TGTATGTCAGATATAAAATAATTTTTTTAAGATTTGGCTGCTCCTGTTTTTGTATTGAAATTTTTTGTTTGTATTGTTAGTTTTTTATAGTGTTTTGGATCCTTGTCAATTATTGATGTATTCACGTTTTCAACTTTAATTTTTTTTAAATATAATAATTACAAAAATATTTCCGCTCAATCGAAGGGGGCGAGTTTTTCGATCTGTACATTGGAGCGAGTAGGTTTTCCTATGTTTATTTCCTAGTACAGATGCGAACGGAGAAGAATTTCCTTTGATAATGAATAAACTTATTTGCTGTAAGAGGCAGCTGAATGTTTACTTTGGACATTTAACATCGTTGTTCTTTCAACCTTCTGAAATATTACAATCAGTCCAATACATATTTCCGCTCAATCGAAGGGGGCGAGTTTTTCTGTCTGTACATTGGAGCGAGTAGGTTTTCCTATGTTTATTTCCTAGTACAGATGCGAACGGAGAAGAATTTCCTTTGATAATGAATAAACTTATTTGCTGTAAGAGGCAGCTGATTGTTTACTTTGGACATTTAACATCGTTGATCCTTCAACCTTTTGAAATATTACAATCAGTCCAATACTAATATTTCCGCTCAATCGAAGGGGGCGAGTTATTTGATCTGTACATTGGAGCGAGTAGGTTTTCCTATATTTATTTCCTAGTACAGATGCGAACGGAGAAGAATTTCCTTTGATAATGAATAAACTTATTTGCTGTAAGAGGCAGCTGAATGTTTACTTTGGACATTTAACATCGTTGATCCTTCAACCTTTTGAAATATTACAATCAGTCCAATACTAATATTTCCGCTCAATCGAAGGGGGCGAGTTTTTCGATCTGTACATTGGAGCGAGTAGATTTTCCTATATTTATTTCCTAGTACAGATGCGAACGGAGAAGAATTTCCTTTGATAATGATTAAACTTATTTGCTGTAAGAGGCTGCTGATTGTTTACTTTGGACATTTGTCATCGTTGTTCTTTCAACCTTTTGAACTATTACGTCAGTCCAGCATTTACAAAATTTACAAGTCATAATTACTTTTCTGATTCCAATTTAATGTGTATACTTCATCTTTTGAATATTTCATTTTTCTGAGTGTACTCAAAATTTAAATTGCATTCCCGATCTAAATCATGTGACAAATACTGTGTATAATATTTTATAATGTGTTTATGCGTATATTTTCTGAGTTTCCTTTACATACTTACGTACTTCTATTTTTGAAGTCTATTACTTTTGAAGTTTTTGATAGTATCCCTTTTTGAATTCATTATAACTTTCTTCGAGAGCACAGACTTACATTGATTTTTGGTTCAAACTTTTGATGTTTGTTCACATATTTTTGAGTGGTTTTGAACATTGACAGTATTTTGTAGTCTGGATAGTTACATAGATTCGTTGCGATGTATGCCTTTGAGGGTCTTGTACTATCCACAGTTTCTTTAATTGAAAGTGTTTTCTTCATATGCAGTTTATTTTCTTCTTGAGACTTGTCATATATGCTTTCCGCCTAGTTGCAAATCTGTGCGTATTGATAAACTCTTGAAACCTCTGGCGTATAAGTAAAACTCACTTTTGATATAGTTATTTATGTCTCAGTTCAATTCAATCAGTTCAATTTGATTTGAAGTAATTGTCAATTCCTTCTTGAGATTTTTCATATATGCTTTCAGCCTTTGTGCACATTTGTGCGTATTGCTAAGTCTTGAGCTTGGTTGCGACATAGCTTTCATGTTTCGCTATAGATTGTGAAATATCTGGTGATTTTGCTTTTGCATTATTGCATTTGTTTTGATAGTCTGCTCTCATAATTTTTTTTCCGACTTCTTATTTCTTTCAATTTCTGTCTTGACTTGAAGTAATCGCCAATTCTTATAGATTCAGTATAGTAATTCTCTTTCCATACTTTACACTGGTAAATTATTATAGTTTTTCTAATTTTGTAATATTTCATATTTGAACTTAACTTTCATTTTACAATTTTATGGTTATTCTCAGTGTAGACTTTGAAGTGCGCTGATGATATCAGTGATCTACATGAAAATATTCCATAGACTATAGACATTCTTGTCTAGGGCTTTGGAATGCACCTATGGTGACCCTAGAAAGTTGTCTTTCTCTCATATTTTTGCTTTAAATCAAAATTCGAATTCTTACCTATCATATTTATTTCTATTTCTTGTTCACTAGATTTTTTTTATAACTCCAATTTTGCACCTACATATATCGTAGACTTTTGCATACAATTTTTGCTTGCGGCATTACTCTCATGTATCATGATTTAATAAAATATCTTGTGATTTTCGTTTCGCTATTTTGCATTTTACATATGCTCACTTCGTTTCTCATTTATTACTCATGAAACTTTTAATATTTTGCTTACTTTTAAATTTTTTTGAGAACCCTTTATAAAATCATGCTCATATAGCTTTAATATGTCCTTTCACTTTATGATTTTAACACTATTAGATTTACAGTTGCACTTGTGTTGCACTTAGTTTTTTTGGAAATTTATTTTGCTCTTTTCTATATTGTACTTCAAATTTTTTTTTTGGTCTGGTTCTTATGTTGTCACATGACCCGAAAATTTTGATTGAACTTACTCTTGAATTTTAGTTCATTGATTGAACTTAAGCTATATTTTGACTTTGAAAATCTTACTTCAATATTTCATGAATGTCCCTTATATACTTTAATTCTCTGAAAATATTTTGAATTATTTTGTAGTCTTACAGACTGCTGGCGCCCGACAATTTTTTTTTGGAATCAGAACTGCACTTACTCAACATCTTTTTTGATTAAAATACCTTCGTGATCAAGTTTTCATTGGTTTAGTACTTGTAAATTGTTTTGTTATATGACTTGAATTCTTAATGGAATTTGTTAATTTCTTTTGATTTTCATATTTTGAAAATAGTAATGCACTTGTTTTTATATTGGATATTGGTTTAAAATATTACTGTAGATGATATTCTTTTTGGGTTTGGAGTATTGCGAGATAATCTGGCAATTGTTTTGAGAAAAATTATTATTATTTTTTTTAGTACCTCTTATGGTTTAGGTACTTACTTAGTTTTGAAGTTTTTAGTAGTCAGTCGTGCATTTTGGATGCCATTGTGATTCGTGCTTGGACTACTGCTGAAACTTTTGGTTTATTATTTTTCTTGTCTTAGGTATGACGATGTTTTATGTTTTGGGTTTTTCATCATATGATGATAGTTTTTTTAAGTGCAACTTCACTGTACTTTTCAGCGAGTTGGTGCTATAACCATCCCTCTTGTTTGGTAGACTTGAGGCTATCCCTTTTTCTTCCAATTCTCTTCTAACATTTTTGTTTCTACCTTACTTTTACTACTTGTTATCTGGTCGAATGGTTGTACATTTGTCCTTCCGTGATAACTTTCAATTTCCTAGTAAAAAAAAAAAATTCTTAAATGCTTCTTCGATTTTTTTTTTTTTTTGGTTAAGTTGGGGCGAGTGTAACGGTTTCACCGTCCGATCGTATTTATTAAATCACTTCTCGATTATCATTTCATTAATCCCATCTCTAGCTTTTTTGCTTGGAAAATTTTCCGCTTGGAGCGCTTGATGCGGAGTTCCTGATCTGCGATCTTCCTCGCGCTTCCTTTTCACTTGAGCCGCCGATCGAACAACGGCTAGAAATTTCTTCTCAGTAGCACCAGGTTATATAGCACCATGTGCTAGAATTTTCTAGAGTGTGTGTCCGTATAGGACAAAAATGGTGAGTTTTATAATACTATACAGTTTTATTGCTGGATCTGCCTGTAGTTTATAGATAATCGATATGTAAGTGATTTATTTCTTGTACGATTTTAAAATATCCATCGAACGTCATTTTCGACTACTTCGATCATTCGCCATAACTTTAATCAAATCGAGGTGGAAATCGATCCACATCGATTTTACCTCTGTGCGCGTATATATATTCATAGTTCAGTGAAATTATAAGTACGTTGATTATGAATATTCGATGATTATGTTTTTATATCAGAAGCATGTGGAGAAATTTTTGATGACCACCATCTTGTTCTACACTTTTTTTTTTGCTATTTCATGATTTTATTTTATGAAAGGCATTTCCAATTTTCGGTTTGATTTTATCAAACTATATAATGTAATTCTAACCTAGAAAATCGTTGGTTCTCTTTTGAGGCAGACTGAGATTGGAAATGCCTTGGCCATTAGGGCACGTTGCTAATGCACATGGTTCTTTTTCAGATTGGGGCCACCCCCTTTCTCTTTCCCTTTCACTTTGCCTAGCCTTGGCCAATATTTTCACCCATGCATGTACCTTGGCAGCGCCATCGCCTTTAACTTCGTCTACAACTGGTTGTGAAGCCACTATATGGAGGTCACCCCTCATAACTGGGACCTCTCCTTCAAACCCCTGGCCATCCTGGCTTCAGTCGAGTCAAAATGGACCAGCAAAAGATAAGTCGATAGCGTTAAAAACTTATTTTGTTATTTTTGTAAAATTATAATGTAATGAAAGTGCCTTTTTTTTTTGTTAAATAAAATCTGTTAAATTTTTGTGTTCTGTTTGTTCTTCTATCCTCTAGCCATGCCATGGTCGACACACAGCTACACGCCTGTAGATGTCTTCATGCCACCGACTGAGCTACCGGAAGCTAATGGTAACCCCCTTTCTGTGATTGTGCAGAAAAGTTGGAATCTTCATTGCATTCCATCTTTTCTGGACTTTTTGCGGAAAGGAAGCGTTACAAGGCTATCATGAACTTTTTTGCTTAGAATAATGCAAGGAATCACCTCTTAAAGTTACGAATATTATTTCCCTAACTCTCTGTATATCAGATATCCATAAACATGTCCATAATCGTATGATCCATCACTATGTCGATGATTCTCAAATTTATTTCAGTTTTCAACACACTCTATGCCTTTACGTATTTTTGTACGAAATAAAGCCCATTTATTATTATCATCAATATTAAATTTAGGCCCAAAATGGATAGCGAGATCGCGGAATCACCAGTTGGATCCTTGTCCATCCCTCGTTATTCATGCCAAACAAGAATGTAATGAAGAAGAAGAAGCAGATAACGAAAAAAAGAAAGAAGAAGATACACTCCAGGTAAGTGAAGTCTAGTAGAGTATGGGTCATTTGGACATGGGAAAATTGCACAAATCGTAGAAAAAAGCGGTATCCTGTGATGTGTCGATAATCCAAGGAGAAAAAGGCAGCATCGAGAGTCAGTAACCTCTATAAGCCAACAAGCAGAAATTCGTATTGCTCGGGTTACATATCCTTTTTTTCCTGCTAGAGTCCACTCCATTGTTTTTGCGGAATGGCCCATTATTTTTTCTAATTGTTACAAACCATTCTTCGCATGATCCTTTCTCTTTTTTCCTGTTCTTCCAATAGGAGCAACACAGTCCCGATAGCACGAAATATTGATAAAATATTTATTTAATATTTAATAGTATTTTTATCTTACTTAAATATCTGTTTTCTTAAACAAATAATTGTAATATAATATTTTTATTAAATATTTATTCAATATCTTTTAAATATTTTAAATACAATAATTCTTTTACAATATTCATTAAATATTCACTTTTCAATCGATATTTAGAAAATATTCATTAAATATTTTCGGCTACGGCGCATGTGCGTGTGGCCTCGAACGACCAATAGGATAATAGCAAGCTGGCCTGAAGCATCCATTTTACCTTTGACTTTCACTATGATAGCGTGCTTCCTGTGTAACTCCAAGTGGTTAATTATTTGAGCGTTTTTTTTTTTTGTGGAAAAGGGAAAAGGGTAAGTTTTTCGTTAATTACATATGTAGGTTAATTTATCTGACTGGTAAACATTATTGTGCCAGTTGAGTAAGAAGGTATTCACAAGACCATGAATAACTAGCCTTGTGGTGTCCTTTTAGGTGCATTATAGAGCTGCTTTTCAGTGGCCCACTTGAGCTGCTCGGACTAACTCACCATGCTCTGCCCAATATTGTTCCACTGCATTTTATATTCCCATAAATAAACTGGAAAGTAGCTTATGTATTTAATAATACTTCATAATTAGTAAGTTTGTTTTTTTTTCAGAGGAGTGGACTCGCAAGATGCAGGAAAGGCTTAGGATGTTTTTTTAATAATATTTTTCTAGCAAATTAAATGATTATATCTAGAATGAATTTTCTTTGTACACCCAATTTTGTATAAGCATTCCTACAGGTTTTGCTAAAATAACCAATGGAGAATTTTCTATATACACTGAAAATACGTATCAGATCGATGATGAAAATCCATACATATTTACGAAAGATTTTAGACATTTCATCAAAATATAAAATTGATATTTAAAAATCTTTCCTCATATATTTTCTAAATATTTGGAAAAAATATCGCAAAAATATATGAATTATATACGATTATATATTCGTATACTAAAAATATCTATAATGAATATTTTATAAATATATAGGGTGTTTCAGTTTATCGTTGCATAACTTTAAGATTCGATAGAACTTTTAAAATTAATGCATAAAATCTATATAAACATGGGTCGAAAAATGCGTGGCTTCCGAAATACAGGGTGTTTAAATTTACTTTCTAAAGTAGTTTTTTTTAAATATTTCGAACAATATTTGATGTATAACAGTGAAAATTGGTATACAAGGATTTTTTGGTACGATAAAACGAACCATGGGCATAGTTTTACTGTAGCCGCTAGAGGGCGCTCTCTACTGTACCTGTAGTGTATTAAAATGACCGAAAAAAATTTCTTAGTGCAATTTTTTGCTTTTTGAATAAAAAAACTGATTCTTCGCACTTTTCAACATAAAAAAGCTCTCTTGTGAATTTTCGTTATAGTTAGCCGTTTTTGAGATATTTCGATTTTTAAGGTTCGATGCATTTTTAATTATTTATGATAAAATAACGTTAAAGTCAGTATCTCGATAATTTTTAGAAGTAGGCTGAGCCTGCAAATATTTTTGAAATTGAAAGCAGTATAAGGTTAAACGTCAATTAGTTGACAGTTGGTTTTGTTGTCTGTTGAAACCTGAAACGTTTTTTTGCAATTGTGAATGCACGAGATTTAGTTTCTTTCACCTGTTTATTTTTTGTAAGTTTTATAAAAATGCCATTTTTATTCTCCAATCAAGAGTTAGCGGATATTCATTTTGTGTATGGCTTTGTAAATGGAAACCCAGCAGAAGCAGCCAGAGAATACGCACGAAGATTTCCAAACAGACGACACCCAACTAACTCAGTATTTGTAAGAGTGCATCGCCAAATAATTGAAAATGGTTTTGGAAATCTCCAAAGGGATCAAAACATAAATGTTCGTCAGCGCAGATTTACCCGTATTATTCTGCGTGAGTTTGATAGAGATCCGACCACAAGTGTTAGGAGAGTTTCTGGTGCCTTGGGAATTTCAGCAAGCCATGTTCACCGTGTTCGTAGAAATGACCATAGACGTCCTTACCATTTGCAACGTGTGCAAGGTCTACAGCCAGGGGACGGAGAACGAAGAATCACATTTTGTCCGTGGATTCTTGATAGAACTGATAATAATAGGGAGTTTTTAAGTAACGTTTTATGGACCGATGAGTCATGCTTCACTAGACGTGGAGCGGTAAATTTTCATAATCAACATATTTGGTCGCATGAATTTAGTGTGAACGTGTGGATTGGTATCTACCGTAATCGACTATTTGGACCCTACCTTTTGCCTGCAAGGTTAAATGCTGCGACCTTCTTGGAATTTTTAAAGGCTGAACATGCAAATATGTGGGATGATGTTATGTTAGATTTAAGAAGATTGGCCTGGTTCCAGCTTGATTGTTGTCCAGCTCATTATTCGAGGATAGTTAGAAACTAGCTTGACGAAAATTATCCAGAAAGATGGATCGGCCGTGGAGGACCAGTCGCCTGGCCTCCACGATCCCCTGACCTAAATCCATTAGATTTCTTTGTGTGGGGATTTCTAAAATAAAAAGTGTACCAGACTCCCGTAACCACAAGAGATATGCTAATAGACAGAATCAGGAATGCATGTGATGAAATAAGGCCTTATTTGAATAATGCACGTTCGATCATTCGTAGATGTGAATTGTGTATTGAACAATTGGGTTTACATTTCGAGCAACTACTTTAGATTTTGTATGTTTGTCCTAACTATCCAATAGCATTTTAGTTGTAAATAATTAATTTAATTTGTTAAAAATAATATTGGAAAATTAAACAATTAATATTCTGTTTTTTGTGTTTATTTGGAGTTAGGAATTAATGCTGTGGTTAAAAACACAATCTAAACGATCATCTTAATTACGTGTAATGCCCAGACCAAAAATGTAAAAAAAATATTATTTTCCCATAAATAATTAAAAATGCATCGAATCTTAAAAATCGAAATATCTCAAAAACGGCTAACTATAACGAAAACTCACAGGAGAGCTTTTTTATGTTGAAAAGTGCAAAGAATCAGTTTTTTATTTAAAAAGCAAAAAATTGCACTAAGAAAAAATTTTCGGTCATTTTAATACACTACAGGTACAGTAGAGAGCGCCCTCTAGTGGCTACAGTAAAACTATGCACATGGTGCGTTTTGTCGTACCAAAAAACCCTTGTACACCAATTTTCACTGTTATGCATCAAATATTGTTCGAAATATTTTAAAAAAACTATTCTAGAAAGTAAATTTAAACACCCTGTATTTCGGTTCCACGCATTTTTCGACCCATGTTTATATAGACTTTAAGCATTAATTTTAAAAGTTCTATCGAATCTTAAAGTTATGCAACAATAAACTGAAACACCCTGTAGAAGAAATATATTTATTAAATATTAAAAAATCTGTGGCTACAAATAATTAACAAATATTTCTTAAAAATATTTAATAAATATTTAATGCTATCGGGAAGTGTCAATAATGTCCTTGTATCGCTCGGAATGGACTGTCGATGCATCACCGTTTTAATCTTCAAAGAAATATGGTTCAATAACACCGCTAGAAGATATGGCGCACCAAACAGTCACCTTTGGACTGTATAGCTATTGTTGATCTCTTTTGGGTTCGTTGGTAACCAATATCTGCAATTTTGCTTGTTCACATAATCGTCTAAATGAAAATGGGCCTGGTCACTGAAAACAACGTTCTCAATATTTCAGGAGGGATTACTTGAATTTATTAAACTAAGTAATGATATAAAGCTTAAAAAAAATAAAGGAATACTTCATGGGGGGTGAAAATTCTTAGAAATGCGGGTTTTGTTTTTCTGAATACAGCAGACGCTCGATAATGTAAACTAATTTAATCCAAGTGTGGTTCACATTATCGAAATGTTTACATTAGCGAACGTGATTTATATAATATTTGATTTATTAAAAGAAACGTTTAATACATACTATTTATAACAAAATAAACAAATATTCTAACAGCGATAAGTATTTTTTTAATTAGAAGAAAAATAATTAACAATTTTTGTCTGCGTAAATTTGCGCTTAGCATTGTCTTCCAATGCCTGCGCCCGTAATTTACGAAGAACTAAAATATCCGTGTATGAAACTTCTTTTCTTTCAGCCCAATCTAAAGCTTGGTTAAAAACTTGTATAGCTTGCGCGTCGGTCACTACACTTCTGACTTCGATGGGATAGTTCTCTTCATCCTCACTGTCCATATCCTCCTCCTTATCAGCATCATTCATCTGCTTATCTTCGTTCCATAAATTAATATCAGCAGGAGTACAAACAATGTTGGGATTCACTGTTTTCAATAAATCAACAACATCCAATGACACACTAATAACATTATCATTATTGGATCGCAAACGTTCTCTAATTACGCTTAAGGGGACATCGTCTTCTTCATCATCTTCATTATTGGTACAAAAGAGATTGTTCCAACATTTTTAAATAGTTTGCTGGTTAAGTTCATTCCAGGCCATATGTAAATCTAAAACAGCTTCTCGTAATGTTACTGTTTTAAAGCCTCAGATAAGTTTTCAGGATTCTTTGATAAGACAGACGAAAGTAGAAACTTCCTATAGTATAGTTTGGTGAGTCTTATTATATTCTGGTCCATCGGTTGAATTAACGGTGTTACGTTGGGCGGCATGTACATGACGAAAATTGACCCATCCCTGCTCCTCAGTTGTTCCTCGGGAGGATGACTTGGTGTATTATCTAATAGTAACAACGCTTTTATTGGAAGCTTCTGTTGTTTTAGGAAACCTTTTACCTACAAATTGAAAACACATCTTCAAATTATGAATAGAGCGTTTGTGATAATTGATTGTCATACCTGAGGGACAAAGCACCTGTGGAACCATTTCAGGAATATACTGCTAGTCATCCAAGCGGTTTACCCAACAGGGATATTAATATTTTTAAATGAGCGCGGATTGTTTGCTTTCCCAATTACCAGTGGCTCTATTTTGTGTGAACCATTAGCATTAGTGCAGGCTAGAAACGTTATTCGTTGTTTCTCCGGCTTTCTTCCCGGGGCAGATTTTTCAAATGATGCAGCATAGGTTTTCTCTGGTAACATTTTCCAATAAAGGCCACTTTCATCTGCGTTGTAAATTTGTTCCATTTTTAAATCTAGCTCGGTAATTGTTTTCATCAATTTTTCTTTGAATGGTTGAACTAATTGTGGTTGTGCTGATAATTTTTCACCAGATATAGACAGCAGTCGAATTCCATATCTTGTTTTGAATCGTTGTAGCCAGCCATCACTAGCTACGGAATTTTCAGTTTCTTTCAGTTTTTCATTTAACAGTCTCGCTCTCTGTTTAAGTACTTCGCCACTAACTGGGACATGATTTTCCCGTTGTTTTAAAAACCACTTATACAGGGAATTTTCCATTTTAGGTGCCTTCGCATTTTTTAAAGTTTTTCTTTTTCCCGGACCTCCAAATGTATTGAACGTTCTTTATAAAATTTGAGTTTTCATACGCTTAATTTTACAGATTGTTGCTTTCGATACTCCATATTTTTTGCTAACTGTGTCACTCCCGCACCTAGTGCAACTTCGTCTATGATTTTCACTTTCTCACTCAACTTTAAACAGTTTCTTTTATAGGATGTGGATGCCATAGTCGTAAAATATATTAACGCGTGCAATGTATTCACTTAAGTTCAAAAATGAAATACATACGTACGTATAAACGTATCCTAAACGATCATACGACTGACCGAGTTTGTCGTATTTTATCGCAGAGGTGAATCCCCTACACTCTACAACTCTACATCATAAATCGGGGACTCCCCGACGCCCGACATAAATCATCGAGGCTTCAGCATTTTACCGTCCAGCTGTTTCCGTGCACCGAGAGTTGTTTACGTTATCGAGCGTACACATTGTTTACGTTATCGCGCGTTCCGTTTGATCCTATAGAACGAAGTTTGTGTTTACATTAGCGCAAGTTTTCATTATCCCGTATTTACGTTATCGAGCGCCTGCTGTATTTGTATGTTATTTTGTAGTTTTTTAAAAGGATGTGATTATTATACAAATAAACAATAAACAGGATTGCTTAGCATGCTAAGATTACGCGAATATTACTAATATAAAATGTAATTTCTTTTAAGGCCTGGTTTGACTACCACATCTGGCAATTAAGAATCGAAAACATGGCAGATCCCAGCAAAGGTTCCATATTTGATTCCACATCCATCGATACACTCACTGAAAGCGTTTCTCAAGAAGAACGAAGGCTTTCGAATATATATCAAATGAATGTCGAAGATGATAATGTTAGGCAAATGAGACAAAACATGTTCGTTAATACCTGCGTCCTTCTGGCAATCAAGGAATTTATGTATGACTAGTAAGTGATAATATTTGCAAAATAGCAGAACAAGTGGTCAATACTTCGAAGTTGAGTCATTTATTTTAACAGTGAGTAGATCTGATCAAAATAAATGTTTTTTCCTTTAACATTTTTCTGGTAAAATTAAAGTAACAAAGTTATAGCCCTTTAGAAGTTTGAATACCGCCCTGTCTCAATAATAATATTATGTGCTCGTATTTGGCAACAACGGATATAATCCGCCTTATGGGTTCGTCGCATCGGAAACAAAAAAGCGAAAGAATTTGAAACGCTTATCACGATGTTTTTACTACCATTTTATTCAGTTGTATTCAGTCAATGTGTCAGTCGGTAATGCGAGAGTGAATAGTGGTGTTTGTTGTGTGGCTCAAACGAAATAAAAAATGGCACATGTTTACGAAAATGCTGAACTTGTAGACATGATTCTTATTTACAAAATGCTGCCGCGGCATCACGGATTTATGCGGATCGGTTTCCCAATCGAGTGCAACTAACCCCTCGTGCCTTTGTTAATGTAGTACAAAGGGCTCGTGAATCAGGTGACTTGAGACCTCGCAGGGGACGGCATGCCGGTGCTCCAAGACCGCACGATCAAATACAGGTCCGCACTGAAATACTTGTCGGGAGGATACTTTATAAAACAAGATAACATTTTTATTTTTATTTTTACACACATATTTTGGTTTATCTTCCTTCTACAATCATTATCTGAAAATGAATGACTCAACTTCAAAGTCACCCTGTATATCTTTGTTCGGATGAAACAATGGAAAATGGCTACTTTCAATATGCTCGTAAAAGCCCCTCAATTGCGCCATTGGATACATGTGGCTTTTCCTTTGATAGTTTTTGAGTGAGGCTCAATTTGATAAATATAGTAATTACTCGAATGCCTCAGAAGAAGGGTAATATTCTCTCTTCCGAGGGTACGATGTGTGTATCGAAAAATTGTATTTCACGGATTAAAATCCAACCGGCTTGATGGATTTTGACATATAACGTCTCGTTGAAATCATAGCAGTGCAAGTGATACTGGTTATACAGGGTGGTCCATAAGTCCTTTGAAATTTCAAATTTAAATAAAATTTAACGGGTGAGCGTGAGCGGCGCGGGCGAGGTGGGGGCAGTATCTTCAGTGTCTGGGAATTCAGTCGCCATGGAGTGTTTCACTGGAGCGGATCGTGCTTTTTGTGTGCGCGCGTTTTATCAAAATAATGATTCGGCAACCATTGCGCGGCGTAAATATCGAGAATACCAGAATTTACACAATTTTACAAAGTGTCCATCAGCTCAAACGATTAAGAACTGGGTTGCTAAGTTCGAAGAGACTGGTTCGACGTTAGATAAACAGCGGTGGGGTCGACCAAGGACAACTCGTATTGAAGAAAACATCAACATTGTGGCACAGTCTGTTCGTCAAAATCCTACCCAGTCTACTCGTAAGCGTTCCAGTGCACTAAACGTACTCAGAACATCTTTACAGCGGATTTTAAGGAAAGATTTACGTCTGCACGCTTACAAAATTCAGTTAGTGCAGGAATTAAAAGATAATGACGCTATTCAGAGACTAAACTTTGCGAATGAAATGTTGAATCGATTTTCTTCGCTCAATAATGTGTTGTTCTCGGACGAGGCTCACTTCCATTTAAACGGGCATGTAAATAAACAAAATTGCCGTTATTGGAGCCCCGAAAATCCAAGGCGTAAGCATCAGAAGCCCTTACACAGCCCTAAAGTTACAGTTTGGGCTGCTATGTCAGCGCATGGCATCGTAGGCCCTTATTTTTTTGAGGACGACACAGGTCGCGCATTAACTGTTACTTCGGAGCGGTATGTAGCAATGATAGAAGAGTTTTTGACACCAGCGTTGCAGAATTTTCCAGGCTATAATACGCAGACCTGGTTTCAACAGGACGGAGCAACTGCTCACACCTCCAACACTTCTATGCCCGTCGTCTGTCAACTTTTTCCCAGCAAAGTAATTTCTCGAAGAGGAGACATTTCCTGGCCACCACGTAGTCCAGATTTGACCCCAATGGACTTCTTTTTATGGGGCTACCTCAAGAGTAAAGTGTACGACACCACTCCGCGATCAGTTGATGTCCTGAAAGAAAATATCCGAAGATAAATGGCAAGAATTACAGTGTTGACTTGCCGCGCAATCATCGACAATTTTAGACGTCGTTTATATGAGTGCCATGATCGTAATGGATTGCATTTAGACGATGTGATTTTTAAAACATAATTCCCATTCAATAAAGATGATAACAAAATATAATAATTCTTCATAATGTAACTAGTTTGGTTTTATTCCTTTTTTTCCAGCTCAAAGGACTTATGGTCCACCCTGTATATATAAGACAATAATAAGACAACATAAAATACTCCCAAATCCTTGCAAAAACTATATAATGGATGAAAATTTGGATTTTGGTAACTGAAATAGTATTCTCTAACATAACGAGGAGTTCCAGATCCTGTTGACGCTACGTAACATAAATGCAATTTAACAGTAGTATATACAGGGTGTCCGCAAAGTTGGGGTTTTCCTTTTCAGAAACAACTAACCTTGAAATAACAAAGGTAATGTGTAGTGAAACGAGGGCGACCAAGTAAAAAAAATAAAGGAAAAAGTACTCACTCTCCAGTTGACGAGAAGGGCTAAGTACGTCTCTGCCCGAAATCATACCGCTCCAACAGAAAATGAAATCAGCTGATGCGCTACCGAGCAGACGCAGAAACCACATTGATTGTCTTACACTTAATGGCACATCTTCTAACAAGGAAGGCAAAATGTTGCGTGAAAAGTCTAGGTATTGCATCCCGTCCAATCGATTTGGGATAATAAGTGGTCCAATGAGCATACCGTTCACCATGCCAGCATAAACAAACCAAGGGCGTAGTGAAGAAAAGCATTTACTTATTAAGTAAATTCTTTTAGTCAAATTTCTTCTGAAAGTAGTACAAACTAATCTGATGTACCTATTAAAGTCTACTTTAAGCTTTAAATCAATAAATCTTCAAAACTACTGGACTGAAGTACATTAATTTTATATTATATTATATATTATAAAGGGAACTGAAAGACCTTTAAAATAAGGTATCACTCGACCCCCCTTTCTATTTAAGATTTTGGGGGTGGTGTCACCCCCGCTTAGGGGGCTGCACGTGCTAACGTGAGTTTTTACCAAACGTGTGTCCTCCTCGAAAACAAAATCGACGGGTCTGAGCGTTTTTCCAGAAAAAAACTGAGCTGCCAGTAAATGCGTCTGTTTCGTTTTCGATGCGCCACCCTGTATATACACTAACACTTACGGACAACAGAACTTAGAAAAAATGAAAAAATAGTTACTACCATCAGGAATTGAACTCGATATCTTCTGTCTACAAGGCAGACGTTTTACCACTGCACCAAAATAACTTTCAAAACCGGTACTTATATTTCGGGGTGCACTGTCGAGGGTACCGTTTTTTTACTCCAATCCGCACGCATTTTTTGCGTCTTTGCGGATTCTTTGTGTTTTTACTATGCCCTGCATACAATCTGAGTAGACACAATTTTTTCAGAAATAGGAGTGTCCTTTCAAATTATAATTATTTTTTGTACTTGCCCATTTGAATGCAGATGTAGAGAACAGGTTTAATATCTTCAATGAAATAAACTTTATACTCCTCATGCTGTTATTATTGAGGATTTATGTATAGTTCTTTTCAAATTATGGTTGAATTAAGTCGAGAAAGTTTGCTAAAAAGTAATGACTAAAAAAAGTCGAGCTTTGTTGTGCTATATTTTCTTTTCCAGAAAGCAGATACTTTTGTTCGGTACAGTTATTCTACAACAAATGGAAAATAAAAATCTGCTAGTGTTTCCCACTATGATGATTTTGAAAAGATCCATGCCCTAAAATAGAACTTAACTTCAAAAAAATGTTTACTCACTTTGAAATATATTTTTCCTCTACATACGTTTTTTGTAGCAGTTTCATATTTGAATGAAATTTGTCTTTTTTACATATTTTGTAACGTTCATTAATTATGGAGCTTGGTGAGCGGTTCAAGAAGCTATTTTATTGATTAAATGACTCAAAATGCTCATTTGAGCAACGAGAGCTGTAACAGAATTTGCATAATCTCGTAAACAAACGTAAATATGGAAATATCGTACAACAAATTTTTGAAGCTTATTTATCGAGCTGAAACATAATCTCAATAACTTTTTTCTGTATATAATATTTACAGAACCGTAACACAAAAATCAAAAAGTTTTACAAAAATTTGATAGTCGCTGCGGAATATTTCTTCATGCTTCATGCACAATACTTCAATAGTCCAAATTTAAAAGTTCATTCGTTACAGAATTTTTTTATGTCAAAAGTGTTTTTATGTCATTCACAGAAACAACGTTCAAATTCCTATTTCACCGGTTACGACTTGTTCGATTTTGACATATGAGGTGTAAAAAGGTGTGAAAAGATACTGATTATCTAAGGGACGGAATTGGCATCATGTGAGACATCGTTTGAGTACTATGCTATCAAAATTTATGAAATCAAACAGTTTGAAGGTTATTTGAAAAAACAATTTTATACAGGGTGTCCCGAAAAAAGTGTGCAATATTCTCTCTGTAGAGCTTAAAATAGGAAGAAAACTTTATATAAACATAGGTCGACAAAGGGCGCTACGGTCTTTTAAAGGGGCTTCCCTGAATATGGTTTTTCCTTACATTTCCGAAACGAGTTGAGATAAAGACATAAAATTTGGTATCCTAGCCTAGTTTTTTATGCTGGATTTAAAAATATTAACAATTTTGGACAGTCTTGTTTGGAAGCGAATGTAACAGAGACGGACTCAGGTTATTTGAGCCCCATAAAAAATTGAATATCGATAAATTGTGCCATTTTTGAATAAAATCAAACTAAAAAATTTGTCACATGATAGGAAATGTACTGCGAATTTAAATGATTGGCTCTAAAGTTAATAGACCCACGGTTAACGTTTACTTTATTTGTTGCTAGCACAAACTGGCATTTGCAGGTCCAACAAAGTTTTGTCCTTTTTCAGTTTCTACAGCAATTTTCAGTTTGCTCTAATCAAAACTGCATGTAGCTACACACATTACCTTGTAACACAAAACTTGACTGATGAGTGGAACATACCAAAGCTTTTCAGAGGTGAATTTAAAAGGCCCGCTCCAAAGAAGCCGAAAAAGACTAAACTCGAGAAAAAGAAACAAGACAAGAAGGAAAAGAAAAAGGATAAGGGGTCTAAGAAGGATAAAAAGTCAAGCAAGAGTAAGAAATCAAAGGACAGCAAAGGTATCTGACTTTGTGGTGGTTCAAGTATGAAAAAGCTATTCAGATTATTTTACAAAAGACGTTACCAAACGAATGGAGTATTCAATAAGTAATAGGGGTGAACATCTCTATAACGGGCTTAAAGTCACGTCTTTCAACAATGATGACGTCTGTACCCTGTCCAGAAACATAAACTTCAAAAACATTGATTTCTAAATTTATCAAAATCTAGAAAACTTGAGTTACTAGGCATATTATTTCTTGCCATTTCAAACAAAGTTGTTCATGGAACCAAGGCAATCCTATGATTAGTTTCCGAGAAATAAGAGGATAAACTGCCTGGTTTGCAAAAATGGTGAATGTGCCGCTTGTAGTTAGACCCAAAACTCTAAGAATCAGTATACAGAGGACCTCCGGTAATCCGAGAAACATTATGCAGGACAGTGTCGGACTATCGAATTTGTCGGATTATAGAGCACTGCCTAAGACCCCCTATAGTCCGGAATTTTTTACAAAAGAGTACCTTGTAATCCGACAAATTACATATCCAATGGTAAGATTATATACATATGTTATGTACATGTATGTACTTTGAAGTGCAAATCATACATAGTTTATGTATGTCGAATTTAGTAAATTAAATAACAATAGAGAGCTTACGTTTTATCATGAAATTAAGCATAAATGCACATACATATGTACCAAAATAATCAAGAATTATTAATCAAAATCATTAATGAATTTATCAAATTATGAAGCTTGGAAATATTCATCAATTTTTTTTTGTTTAAGGTTGTTATAACGCGAGATCAGAGCTTTGTCCCTCAGTCTTCTCAAAAGTAAAAGTTCGTTGTAGGATGTACCATTCTCTTCAGCCCATTGTAAACCTAGCTCAAAGGCGTTAATTGCGTCTTGTGCTGTGACTTGTGGAGCAGTTGCAATCACGTCGTCGTTATTTTCCTGATCGTTTGTTGTATAATTAGAAACCTCTTTTATAATCTCTTCGTCAGACATTTCATGAAAAACATTTTCCTCTTTATCCATTCCACGGCACCAGATTTCCAAATCTTCCTTATCTTCCTTATCTGTGTTTCAGTAGCGACTTGTTCTGTAACTTCCGAAGTAACACTGATTTTTGGAACGTTGCTAGGAGTGGTGACTATATCTGGCCATAACTTTTTTGACAAAGAGCAAAAAACAAGTCTTTCATATTAAATTCTTTGAAAGTTTTTTCTATTGGTTGGTCTTTTGATACAGCTCTCAGAAGTAGGTTTTTCTTATAGTCTTGCTTGACAAACTGAATGATATTCTGGTCCATTGGTTGAATCAGTGCAGCGCAATTTGGCGGAAGAAACATCGCAGTGATGCATTTATCCTCAGTTGTTAGTTCTTCTTCAGACGGATGACCGGGAGCGTTATCAAGAAGCAAGAACGCTTTTTGAGGAAAATTATGATCTTTTAACCATTTTTTAACTTCAGGTACGAAGCATTCATCAAACCACTTTTTGAAAAGGTCTTTTGTCATCCATGCACTTTTTTGCCCGTAATAGTGTACAGGTAAATCAATGTTTTTGACTGCCCGTGCTTTATTAGATATCCCAATGACCATCATCTTAAGCGCGTGTGTGCCCGCAGCGTTAGCACATGGTAGTATGGTTAGACGCTCTTTACTTACTTTTCGTGCAGGTACGGATTTTTCGTTACAAGAAACGAAAGTTTTGTTAGGCATCACACGCCAAAAAAGCCCTGGTTCGTCTGCATTGTACATCTGCGACGGGTCAAGATTTAAATCGTTCACCTTTTGCAAAAATCTTAATTTAAAGGGCTCTATGCAGGTGGCATCGTTAGAAAGTTTCTCTCCTGTAATAGTCATTAAACGTATGCCGAGAGGACTTTTAAAACGTTCTAGCCATCCTTTGCTACCACAAAATCATCTTTTTTTTTTTGTTATTTCCTTATAAAAAACTTTCATGGCTGTCATGGCCAACATGGGTCCTGAAATTGGTCCATAAATATTTCTTTCCTGAAGAAACCACATATACAAAGCTTCTTCCACTTCTGGATGTTCAGCTTTCTTGAGTATCTGTTCTCTTGCCTGGTAGTCAGTAGTTGACACGAACTTCTTGATCGTCTCGTGGTTTCTTTTAATGTCATAAATTGTAGATCGGCCTACGCCGTATTCACTTGCTAAACTACTGAAAGTTTCATTCCGATTTAAGCGGTCTAAAAGATCACACTTTTCTTTAATTGTCATTGTTTTGCGCTTACGCTTCTGAGTTTGTGATGACATTACTACGTACTATAAGGTACCTGTACCAAATAAGGCCACATTAACGTTTGGATAGCTGTAACTGCGTAAATATTTGCGAAACGACCTTGAAATTTTAAAGGTATTATTGTAGATATGTTTATTACACAAGCTACATCGGAGAACTCAGAGACCTTTTCTTTTCATATGAAAAAAATATATTTTTCGAAACACTACCGTTGGCCTTATTAGGAACCCATGTATCCAAATAAGGCCACCATCTGGTTTTCAATAAAACCACAATCAAAATGTAAATCAAGACTGTATAATAAACGAAGCTATATTTCTAATTAAACAAAATTAAAAAAACACTTAAATCTAGACAGATTTAAATAAAAAAAGTCAACTTGTTTAAAGAAAATCATACAGAATCTTAGATTTTGATTTCGCAATGATGACAAACAAATGATACTTTATCACCTCTACATAAGCCTACACATTCCTCATGGACATATCTTAAGCATACTACACACAGACGCATGTCACGTACTTCATCCTTATCGCATATGAAACAGTACCAGTTTTCGTCTTTATTCTTTCGGGACCTTTTGCTTTTAACGGTTCCAGACTTACTAGATTTTTTTATTGTTTTATCTAAGCCGGATGGACCTGGATTTGGGTCTTTAAACAAATCTCTTACGACGATTTGCGCAGTAGAATTGATGGCTTTTCGTCTTTTTGTGGCGTTGGCCTTCCATTCGGGTGTCGGAAGTACTTCCCTGAAACTTAGATCCAATTGATCACTGTCTATTTGACCAGTCACAAGATTTGTTGCTTCAAGAACTGCAAACTTTTGAGTCGAGTTTATTTCTTTTTCATTAGAAGTAGCTGTTATCTGTAACATTGAAGTTCCGTTGGCCATCAGTAGTGCAAGGGGTATGTCATCAGATTCTGTAAAGCTGACATCATGGTTTTCTTCATTATCCTCCTGAACATCTGTAGCTGCCGTATTGGAATCGGGCCTCTCTGACATTAAACTAGGTGTAAATGCAGTCTCCGGGATCGCAGCTGGGTCGTGTGGGTATATTCCTGTTGCGCGAAATCCTGACTGAAGATTATCAGACGACATGGCCCTTGGATACACTTTCCTCAAAATTTCTCCAAATCTTGCACGATTCAACTTCCTGCCAGGATACCGCTTGTAATGGTTAAGTATTTCATTTTCCCAATGATATTCGAAACTGCGGAAAACACATTTATCCAGCGGTTGCAGCACGTGTGTCGTGTTACTCGGAAGACGCAATAAAGTGATGTGATGTTTTTCGGCGGCGTCAACAATAGTTGCATCCAAATGGGAAGAGGCACCATCAAAAATGAGAAGAATATCTCCTGGTGGCTTATAGTTTGCTAGATGTCTAGCCATTTAACAAACACTGCTGCCGTCATACTTCCTTTTTGGGTCATTTCGATTACTGTTCCGGTTGGCATATTGTCACCCCATTCATCCTTTTTACGTTTTCCCTTGAACAGGACCATTGGTGGTATTGCCTGTCCAATAGTATTTCCACATGCAACTGTTGTGGAATTTTCTGCGTGCTCATTAGCTACATAGTGAACACGTCTTTCACCTTTCCTCGCCAACACATTTGGTTGGCGGTGGATGGTGAGTCTGCACCCCTTCTCATCTACATTGTAGATACGATGGAGCTGATTGATTAGGTTTAGTCTAATCAGCAAACTTTCTAGTTTTTTGAAGTAGTCGTTTACAATGTACTGATTTACTTTCTGTGCCCTAGCTGGAGTTAAAACCCTGTGCTTTCCTTTGGCGAATATTTTCATGTCTGTCCAAAAACAACTTCAACCATTTTCTACCTGCCATCCCACTATTTTCATTAAATGTGTGACGAATTTTCTTGTCATTAACATAGAAAAAGACGGATTTTCGCAAAATCTTTGGTGTAAGGGGCACTCCTGTATCCGATAATCGGATTATCCTTGAGCATAGTTCATCTTCCTGCTCTCTAGACAAAATTGTACTAGAACCAAGTTTTCTTTCTCGCACACCTGTACGAACATGATTGCGAAGTGTTCTTCGTGGAGTTTGGTATTCTTTGGATGCACGATTTACCGACGTTCCACTGTTTATACTATCCAGTGATTGTACAAGCGCTTCGGTTGACCACAGCGCCCTTTTCTTAGAGGGCATATTTCGACTATAGTCTCTGAAAAAAAAACATCTTAATTTAAGACATCTGCCGTAATGGCCAGCGTGTTCCTAATAAGGCCAAGTGGTCGTAATGGGAACCGTTCATCATGGTCTTATTAGGCACATATAACCTTAAACATACAATTTATAAAATACAAAATATTTAAAACCTGGCGACGACAAATAACTAGCTGTATATGTTCTATAGACTTACCTGATTGAACTGACAACAGACTTCGCAAAAAGAACCAGACAACATGAAAAATCGAAGACAAATTTAAAGTAGTAATTTTGTAAGGCACGTATTGAAAATCGACACTGGCCAACTGCGCCATCTAGCGCCGCTCCACACCTGCTACATTTATGGGTGCTAACTCATCTCAATGAATGTATAGAACTGTAGAAATCTTTAACTCTAGATGTAACTAGTGTCTGTAAAATCGACGCATGGCCTTATAAGGAGCTTGGCCTTATTTGGTACAGGTACCTTACTTAATACACAATGAATAAATAGTAAACAATGAACGCACGCTAGGCCGTACCGATATCACAAGTAGTCAAATTCAAACTAAGTAAAACAATGCTTACGCGCCGAGCACGATAGCGGTGGCGCGTACAAGTTGTAACCTGTTCAAACCTGCGTGATCTACATTAGCGAAGATTGTCAAATACGTATGTATGTAATATTCAAAGACATGTCGGATTTCGGGGGCGCCGGATTAGACAGGGACCGGATTATCGGGGGTCCACTGTATTAAAAAAAATATTTCGCCAAGACACCTTGTAGGAAGGTGTTGGAAAGTGTCATGTTGATCGTAACCATTACAAGGTCAGTTTCATAGGAGGTTCATTTTTATGTTCATATTGTAATAAACCAGCAAAAATCCATTATTCCTCATAACCAAAGAATAAAATGCAGCATGCAATACATCGTATAAAGAATTAAAGTTGATGGTTTCTCGTAGTGCCTAAAAAGTCCCAATGGAAAACTTGCATAAGTTTTTTGATAATTATTCTTAAAATAATGTCAGAATCGATGAAAATGTTTATTAGCCAGTAATTATTACCGTTTGTTGACGTTTCGGACATGCGCAGGTAAGAAGAAAGAGTCAAAAGAAGGAAATAAACCCGGAGGACTCACAAAGGAAGAAAAAGCTGAGATGCTCAGATTACAAAGGGAACAGGCGAGATTGGAGGAGGAACAAAGGATAGCAGCAACAAATAGGCAGTTCTTGTTTCCTTTGACAGATGCCGCAACGGACGAATTCTTCGAAGGCGTTTTTGAGAATTGGGTGAAACCGAAGAAGAAAGAGAAAAGGACGAAAGGCAAAGATAAGGGTAGTCAGAAAAGCAGCAAGTCTAGCAAAAAGGGAAAAAACTAATATTTACATTTACCTTGTAAATATCTATCGGTGTCTATTAAATATTAATATATTTATAAGGGGTTCTTCATTGCGAGGTGAAACTTGCCCTTCCCACTTCAGTTGGCCCACTTCAAGATTTGTACCAAAATATGCCTTCATAAACTAAACATGACGAAACTATTTACTTCTAACACAATTTATTTTCTCAAAAACATTTTAGATACACTCTAGTCGTAAAAAATACATATTTGAAATCACTTAGACCTGTAACTAATAGAACATCTGAACAAGTAAACAATGTGCTAACAAATGCGCGGAGTTAACAAAGCAACAATTGAAAGATTACCATTGGGTAACATCACATTTATTTTTTATTACGGCTGAAATTCTTTGGGGCATAGTGTTAACCAAGTTTTGGCAAAAAATTTTTGTAAAACAATCCCATATTTCTTGAAGCTTTTGTCTCAGTTCGGTGATTTTACGAGCAGGATGTTGTCGTAGAACCTTTTTCATCTCGTACCACAAAGTTTCAATAGGTGACAGATCTGGACTGCTAGAAACCCATTTCAAAAGTGGTACATTATTTTCTTCCATTAATTTTATAGCCTTTTTTGAGGTATGGCACGCTGCACCATCTTGCTGAAACACAAAATCTTGGCCGGATGTCAAACATTCTTCCATCACTCGTAAAAGCGATTCTTCTAAAATTGCCAAATATTTGTTTCTATCCACATTTCCATCAATAAAATGAAGTTTTCCTACTCCTTTTAATGACATGCTGCCCCAGACTATAACGGATGCTGGAAATTTCACTTTTCTGTGAATGCTTCATTTTTTTTACGAATAACTCTACTGCGACTGTCACCAACACAAACTTCGAATCGGGCCTCATCACTCCTTTGTATTGCACACCATTGTTGAGGTGTCCATTGTCTATGTTCTTTAGCCCATCTAAGCCTATTTTTCTTTTGCATTGGAGTTAATAGTGGCTTTTCTTTGGCCTATAAACAAGTTGTGCAACTTTAGGGTTTTTACTTCACTTTTTCTTATAAGAAAACTTACCTTTCAAGTGCTAAATCCCAGTTTGTGGGTCTCTCTATGAGTTGTGGACCTCGAAATTCTCCTTCCAACAGCGTCAATCCACAGAGCACTTCATTGTAAATAATTGGCACGCCCGTTTTTCACGATTATTCTTCTTAATGCTCTTCGGTCGGCATTTGTGATATTACTTTTTTTCACAAATCGTGGCTTAATATTAACTGAACCAGTCACGTTATATCTTCTAACAATATTTCTCACACTGTACCGCGATAAGTCTAACCAAGTTGCAATTTCTGAGTTTGATTTCCCAGAATTAAAAAATTTAATCAATAGTAACCGAATTTTCTCACTAATAACTATTCCTCTACACATTTTGAAAAAGTTGGTGTTTTCTACTATACCGGGTGTCCGCAAAGTTGGGGTTTTCCTTTTCAGAAACAACTACCTTTGAAATAACAAAGGTAATGTGTAGTGAAACGAGGGCGACCAAGTAAAAAAAAATAAAGGAAAAAGTACTCACTCTCCAGTTGACGAGAAGGGCTAAGTACGTCTCTGCCCGAAATCATACTGCTCCAACAGAAAATGAAATCAGCTGATGCGCTACGGAGCAGACGCAGGCAAATAAGGAATGCAAAATGTTGCGTAAAAAGTCTAGGTATTGCATCCCGTCAAATCGATTTGGGAGAATAAATGGTCCAATGAGCATACCGTTCACCATGCCAGCCCAAACATTCACCGAAAACGTTTGTTGAAAATGTGCCCGACGGACAGCGTACGGATTTTCTACTGACCAAACATGAGTGTTGCGAAAGTTATTGACCCCATTACGCGTGAACGTAGATTCGTCTGTCACCAATATGCACTTCAAAAAGTCCGGATTATTGTCATGTTGATGCAACAACCACTCACAAAACCGCACTCTTGCTGGAAAATCGTCAGGTTGAAGGGCTTGTACACGTTGGACGTGAAACGGATACAGCCCCTCTCCACGCAGCGTTTGCCACACTTTAGTTTTTGATACTTGCACTTCTCTAGCCATGTCTCTAGTGCTTGTTGATGGATTCTCGTCTACGCGATTACCTCTACACGCGTGACCGTAACCGTCGGTTGAAGGTTGCATACTGACCTGACACACTGATCTCGACCCAGTTCTGTCGTCGGGTTGAGCTGGTGTCCTATTACCACTCAGGGATGTCGCGAGTCGCGGCTACAGGACAGTATTCAGATATTTTTGATGTTGCAGAGCCCTTTATCTCGGTTCCCTTAAGACATTGGTGTATATGGTACTAAGAAAAATTGCTTATGTTTTCAAGATCTACACGTCGTGTAAAGGAAAACCCCAACTTTGCGGACACCCTGTATATTATCAAAATGTTCATTATTAATATTTTAAACCTATAACACCCTGCTACATTTTTATTATTTGTGTTTGATAAGAAAAAAACTAAGATTTCAATAGTTGGGCCAACTGAAGTGGGAAGGGGCTCGTATTTCAAAGACGCTGGTTCGACACATTTTTTACGTATAGTTTGAATGACATCCAGCAGTTTGCTTCCGAGATAATCTAAAACATTTACATGGATTCTTAACCCAGTAAACATGAAGGGGTACATTCACATTCCTAGACTATGTTCGTTTCAGATCGTTAAAGTATAAGATCAGAAGATAAACCTGAGAAAAGAACAGTCCCACCTTACAAGCGTTTGAAGTACTACCCTGTACGTTTCCACTTTACCTATTACGAGGGTAGTACATAAACAACTTAACAAGTGCCTCAATGTCAGGATAATTTCAATGGCGCTCATTTGGTGACGTAACGAGCGAGAGTTGTCCATCCTTGGAGAGAAATGGAGTCGATAGGACTGGGTTGTCGAGGCCAACCCTATTTTTGAGAAAAACCTTTTGAGTACCTCCCTTATTCTACCAGCTCATGACATCCACGACTCTGCAGTCTTTTCATTATATATATTAATATTCAGATTGGAGGAAGACATTTTGAACAATTGCTGTAATATCTGGTAGAAAATTAAATGCATTAAATCCTATTTAGGCAATTCATCGTCTTTAATTTTAACGCGTCTTAGGGCCGTAGTGACGCTTTTCCGGATATGGGTCCCTATACTCAAATGTTTTCTACTATTACACTGAATAACCCCTAGAAGTTTGATCCCTTAGTTCTGAAACACCCTATATTTCTCAATTATATTATCAGAAGGGAACTCGCGCCTGAAGCGGAAATACCTCGCACGGGAGAACGGTAATGTATAAATAAAATTACTCAACAAAAAAGTGCGGGTCCTTTTCAAATGAGGCATCTAAAAAAAAAGTATCCGAGATCAAAAGCTTTTTGGCGAGTAACTTTGTATTTTTTGCTGCTTATTACACCTTTGCCGTGCACCTGGATCGAACCCCAGCCGATCGTTAATTATTAAGGTCATCATGTTCTTTGCAAAAATCTGTCAGGGGATCGGAAACGTTAACAAACTTAACGAAGAGATGTAATTTGAATACCAACCACGTCTTGTGACACTTTCGATTCAGATCATCGCTGTATATCGCACCTAGGGACCGAACTATATTGAATATTCATCGGAACATGAATATCGGAAGCCGTTCCAAGACGGCCGAAGCCCTAATTTGAAAGGCAAATAAGTATTCCGTTAAATGCTATTAAGACGAAAACTTCCGCTCCGGAAGGTGTACGTACAAATTGTGGAAACAAGAAATGTAACCGCAGCGGCTGAGGGATCAATTTCAGTCGAAATAGCAGGAAAAATAGGAGTCAATTGATTGGGTACAAAAATTTAACACACAGTGTGGTGTCGTGACCAAGTTATGTTGCACTTCGAACAAGTATTTTTAGATTGAGGTGTTATTCAAAAATGTGTAAAAAATAGAGTAAATAAGATGGACTCTCTACTTTCCATTATGATAATAATATAGGGTTGTCCAATAGGGACGCAGGAAAGTAAACGTCAATTTGACATAGACGCCATCTTTGTTTTCTGTCACCGACATGTCATTTTGTTAGTTGAATGTTTACCATTGATCGCTATGGAGTCGTATTCGATTGAAGACCGCATTAAAGTTATTCAAGAGCACTACGAAAATGGTGCAAAAATAAAAAACACGTTTCGCGCGCTTCGTGAACATTTCGGTCGCAACAACCGCCCAAACGAAACAACCATCGGTCGTCTGGTGCGTAAATTCGAGGCAACAGGTTCTGTGGCAAATCTGCCAGGCTCTGGCCGGCCAAGGAGCGTTCGCACACCGGAAAATATTGCTGTTGTGAAGGAGAGTGTGAGAAACGATCCAAAACAATCAACAACGCGTCGATCCCAAGAATTGGGCAATTCTAGAACCAGTTTGCTCCGCATTCTCCACAAGGATTTGAATGTACACGCCTACAAGATCCAATTGTCGCAAGAGGTGCGTCAGGCCGACCATTTTTCGCGCCGAACGTTCTCAGATTGCCTCCTTGACCACCGCCAAATTGATGCCAATTTTTCATCAAAAATCATGTTCAGCGACGAAGCGCATTTCACTTTGAATGGGACGGTAAACAAGCAAAACTGCCGCATCTGGGCGAACGAAAATCCCCGTGAGTATCAAGAGCAGCCGCCGATGCATCCTCAAAAAGTGACTGTGTGGTGTGCATTGTGGTCAAAAGGAATCATCGGACCTTACTTTTTCGAAAATGCGGCCGGGGACGCCGATACCGTCAATTTTGAGCGATATCACGTGATGATAGAGGACTATTTTTTGCCGCGAAGGAATGGATATGGACGATGTTTATTTCCAACAAGACGGTGCAACATGCCACACAACCGACGTCAATATCCATCGATTGCAGTCCTTCTTCGGTGATCGCGTGATTTCGCGCAGAGGAAATGTGCCATGGCCACCAAGATCGTGCGATTTGACTCCCTTGGACTTCTTTTCATTGGGATATTTGAAAAGCAAAGTCTACGTCAACAAACCAGCCACCCTCCAAGAACTCAAAAACAACATC